TTTAGATTATCTAGCCTTTCTTTAAATTTATAACTCTTCTTTTAAAGATAAAGGATATTAGTATTTATCTAATCTTTAGTATCTATAATAAACTTTTTATCTATCTTGAAAAGTCGAAAAGTATATTAAGATAGGTTATTATAGGTTATTTAGAAGTAGCTTATATTTACATCTTTTGAAATAGAGAAGAAGCTTTTATACTATTAGTATAATTAATATAATTAATACTATTCTCTCGCTATAATAAAAGCTTTAATTCTTTGAAAGAAAGAACTAGGATAATCTAGATAATAACTAGTATATAATCTATTAAATAAGTCTTAAAGATTACTTTTAATCTTATAAGCGATGCTATATAGATATATAATTAATATTAAGAGCCTAATTATCTATTGTAACTATTTTAGAGCTTAAGATAGAATATATAGTAGAGAAGTTCCTAGCCCTTAAATATCTAGTAAATATAATAAGCTAAAGAAATATCTTAATAGCGATAAGTAGATAGAACCTCTCTATTATCTAGCTTATATTAACTCTAATTCTAGATATTATATAAACTCTTATCTATATTTTCTAGAAGGATTATTAGTATTAACTCCCCGCTTTATAAACCTTATATATAATATACTTTTTATACCTACTATAGGAGTAGATATAGAACGCCTTTTTAACTCCGCCTATAATATCTACTACTACTAGCGAGGTTCTCTAAATCTATTAATGATCTAATACTATTTATATATATATTAAGGTTTAAGATTAAAAAGGGTTAACGAGCGCTAATTAATAAATATCTCTTATATAAAGAGATATATATAAGCTAAGAGAAGAAGAATATAGATACTTATCTCCTTAAACCTATTAGTGATAATAATAAAATTAATAAGAATATTATTTTAGCGGTTTTTAATACTATTTAACCTCTAGCTAATAGGGCCTAATTAAAATAGCGATAGCGCGCTTTATTAGAGCTAGAAGAAAGAGAGTATAAAGAGGAGTATAAGCCTAATCTACCTAATACGTAGAGTTAGTATTTAGGAAGGGTTCGGAAACATTTAAGGCTTCTTAATAGATATAAAGTTAAAACTCTATAGATATAGTGTATATAGTATAGATCCTAAAAATTAAGTCTAAATTAGCTTTAATTTATTATTTAGATCTTATTAAAACCGTCCTACTACTAATTTAGTGACTCTTTAAAATCCTAAGCTATAACTCAAATACTTAATAATATAGCTATAATTTGTACATTTTATATAATTATAAGATTTTCTATATTTATTATATTTGTTAGCCCCCGAAGTGTTTTGAGGGCCGCCCTCTAAGGGCATATGAAAGACGTGCCCGACCCGTGGGTAGGAGGATCCTACCCTCCGCCCGCAAAAGGCGGGTCTGAGGGCGGCCCTCGGAGGGTGGCTCGCGGGCGGTTATGAGGTCTAAACATCCGTTAGTTAGTGGTCTTAACACTATAAATACGTTAACTAGCTAGTTGCTTTAGTGCTATTTAAGGAGCATCGATCCTAGCGTATTTGGTCGTAGAAGGCTAGTTTTAAAAGTAAGCTTACTATCTCAATATTAGTATAAACCCCCTTCTTTATATTTAAAGCTTATTTAGTCTAAAATTTACTATAGGACGATAGAAAGATATTAGCGTTCTTACTAGTATTAATATAGCAACTACTACACTAGTATAATATATTTTCTTAATTACTATAATACGCACTAGTATTAATCGTATTTTTAACTCTACCTATAATATGTACTACTATCGATGTAGCTCCCTTAATCCTAGATAATTTAAGCCCTTGTATTATTTTGCTATATCGCGAACTTCGAGATTAACTAAGACGAGATCACTTTAAGTGATAGAGTCTATACTTAGGAAGAGCGATAGGCTCTTAAGAAGAATAGGGATGTAGAGCTTCTGTTAGAAACCCCTAATATGATTGGTAATAATAAGGAAGAAATAACTAGCGAGACCTAACTAATTGCTTAGATACTAAGTTAACACGCCCTTATAAAGAGATAGAGAAGTACGATATATCAATTAGATACTACTAATAATAATAAGATCCTATATCGGTTAATATAGGAAGGAGAATAATACGTAGCTACATATAGTAATAATAAATCGAGGTTCGAAGTAGCTAATACTAGAGGATAATAACTTTATTTCGTGTTAGTTATATAACAACAATATAAACATTACTTCCACCTAATCTAAATCTTACAACTCTTACTTCTTTAAGAGCGGCTATTATAAGTAAAATACTATAAAAAAACCACTACAAATTACACAATTATTATCGGTCATAAGTTAGCAAATATTTATATTGTTTATAGTCCTACTATAGGAATTCGTATCGGGTCTAGTCCCGCTAGGCCCGCTCCTATAGGACCAAAGTCTAGTCCTAGGGGAGTCCCATAGGCAGTCCTATGGCGGGAGTTCCGCGGGGAATGTCAAGGTCTACCTGTATATCACCTCTAGGGACCTATTGTGGGGTCTCACAAGACTAAACGCTACCCCTTAAGAGGGAGTAGCGGGAGTAGCTAATATATATATGAGAACTCTGTAGGTAATAACCTTCTAGCTACCGTGGCCTTTAAATTAGAGTTCTAGTTACCCAAGATGATCCTTAGGCCCTACGGTCTCCGACTTATCCAACTAAATGTAGGGGTCCTAACATCCACCGACTCCAATCTCACTAACAATTTCACTCACTGTTGCATTCTTGGAACAGAAGCAATACCTTCAGCATTAAACCGCTCATACATATAAATCTATACTACAATCTAAAAGCTTTAAAATGCTTGTAGTTTATATCCAAAGCCTTTAGATGTGGAATTTTCTGCAGAGGTACGGTGATTGAAGGGTATATTGCTGCCTACTATGTAATCTCGCGAAAGACATGATTTTGAAATAGTCAAATATTCGTTATACAAGTATAAAAAATTCGAGGTGCAGTCAAGACCCTCAGAAGATCATGTATACCACGAGAGGCTGTCCCAAATCATGTCCTAGGGCCAACATGCATTTGCGGTAGCTACGGTCTATTTTGCGCTAGGCCGGAAAGGTAGAACTTGGTGTTCTCGTACACCAAAAAGGTCACCCATGTGCTTGGAAGCACGCGAAACAAGTTCGGACCAAGACCCTTGTAAAACCCTGCAGCACCTTCACGAGTCCATATCTGGGAAATGACATCAATCGCCCCACGGTAAATCCGATGCGCCTCATAAGTCTGCAAGCGGGACCTTATGACTTGATATGGATAGGTAACACTACCTGCGAAGACCTTAGACAAACTGGAAATCGCGAAAAAGTCAACATTGCCCAATGCCCGCTCGGCGCCTCGGCTGCCATCGAAAGACACTTCAGTTTTCATCGTCCCAGACCGGATGAGTTTCAACTGCTCGTAAGCCATGAACTGAAGGGCACCATGACTGACACCAAATAGCGCCGGAACAAGGCCACGGTAGAAGCCAGGTATGCCCTCCGTACGGTAGATTTGTCTTATACCCGACGTGAGTGACGAGTACGCCCCGGGCACATGAGAGCCGGTTGACAACATGCGAGTTTTGATCACCCAGATTGGGTTAGTCAGGATCGCCGTAATAGCGCCTTCATGCGGCCACAAGTCAGTGTATAAGAGCTAGATTTCGGACCAAACAGCTCAGACATACCTGCACTTCCAGACGCCAGAAAATAATCGGACGATGCGAGCATATGATTACTTCTCTGGCGATATCTTCGAAGAGCGTCCTTCAAGCTGCTATAGCATAAGAAGTACAAAGCCCAGCTTGTAGAGTTCCCAACCAGATTCGGGGCTAATCCCCGATAAAAAGCGGCAAAGCCACCTTCATGATGGGAGATATCGCGGATGATTCGTAGAGAACTGCCGAGCCGGGACGATGATGATCGATCAACTAGAGAAGTCCAATTTAGTCTCACCATACAATCCCAAGGGAAAACAAGGGCTTACCTTGCAATCTTGTCTTGACCAGGTCAAGGGGGTGCAACGAAAGCGTCGACACAATTCCTGCTGTGAATCCAGCTAAAGTCTCCACAACGGATGACGAGAAGCCATGGCTAGTCATGAACCCGAGAAAGGGAAGAGTGATGGGATGAGGTGGAAGTGGTTGGAGAGGGAAGCCCGTGACCTCGGGAGTCGAGAGTCACCTACGAGAAAACGTCTTAACGGTATGAATCAATTGAACATAGATCACCCGACCCGATTTAAAAATACAAATGGCCTTTATTGAAACCCAACATTCCTCCAAATGGTAACTTGGCCGTTTCCTCTATTCATCTAACCTAGGCAAGCGGCGAGAACAGTCTGATCAGTTAGTACGGGTCGGAATGCAGGCTGGAGTTGAGATACCTGAACAGGGTCGGCTTGGGGTCGCTATAGGTGTAGCCTGTCATTAAGTCAGTATCCATCACATACACACTGAGTCTTATGTCTACGTACCCAGATAGACAATTAGAGGCAAGTATCCGCTGGAAGGTATCGGTCAGCTCAGGCAATGATTCGAGAACTTCTGGGAGGCTCACTAATGAATTGCAACGCGAGAAATATCGATGACCTTTGAGACGCGCTCCTGCAAAAGAAAAAGATGGGCTTAGTCGTCCCAGTAGAAGGGTCGGATTCGCGACCTACCTTGGTCTCTTCGGAGAATTGAACCATTGTGATTGTGATTGTGATTGTGATTAAAAGAGGTAGTTGGGGTTCCAAGAGATAAAAGACCTGAAGAGTAACACAGGTCGAAGCTGGATGAAGATAATGGTGAAGGAGAGTGATGCGGGTGAATCAAAAGTTTTCGGAAGTCGGGGCCAAAGTCAGTGATCGTCCCAGAGCTTCTTCTTCACTTTAACACTTGTCCCCTGCAACTTTATAACCACTTTAAGTGCCAATTTTGCTTACAATACAAGCTGCAGAGTTCGCCCGATAGTCCTTCCTTTTGTCACTGAGCTGCCTGTGTTCTAGCTGAGATCCGCTGCCATGTCTGGCGCAAGGCATTGGTAAGGCCCTTTCTCACCTTGTCCACCAGCAGGAGATATGATGCTAACTAGACCCAGGGAGCAAGACAAAGAGGCCACCGTTTATATCGGAAACCTCGATGAGCGGGCCTCAGACAGCCTCGTATGGGAATTGATGTTGCAGGCCGGGCGCATCGTGAACGTCCATCTGCCGAAGGACCGGGTTACGCAGTTACACCAGGGGTATGGATTCGTTGAGTTTATCAGCGAGGAAGATGCCGAATATGCATCGAGAATCATGAATGGAATTCGCGTCTACGGAAAACCTCTTCGTGTGAACAAGGCATCGGCCGACAAACAAAAGACTGTAGAAATTGGCGCAGAGCTTTTTGTTGGCAATCTCGATCCCATGGTCACTGAACAGGTGCTTTATGATACATTCAGCCGTTTTGGTAACCTGATCAATCTGCCGAAGGTGAGATATTTTCTAATATAAGATGACCATTGCTAATAGCATATTGCAGATTGCTCGTGACGATAATAATCTCTCCAAGGGTTATGGATTTGTCTCATTCGCCGACTTTGAATCTTCGGATGCAGCCGTCGCCAATATGAATGGTCAATACCTGATGAACAAACAGGTGTCGGTGCAGTATGCATATAAGAAGGACGGCAAAGGCGAGAGACATGGCGATGAAGCAGAGCGAATGCTGGCGACCCAGGCACGTAAGCACAATGTCCAGCCTCCTACACAGCAGCTTCCGCCCCAGTTTGGTGCGCCTGGCCCCGTGTCAGCAACGCCTGTCATGTCGAATGGTGACATTTCACGACCCTTGAGTACCGCACCATCGCAAGCACCCGACCTCGGCATGGGTCGTGCTTTGCCAGCTATGGGTTACCAGAGTGTCCCTCCTCCACACAACCGACCTGTCCCTCCTCCCGCCCCGTCGCTCAACACGCCACCACCTGGCCTTCCCGCGCGGCCACCGCGATCTCAAGCCGGCTACGGTGGTCCTCAGACCTTCTTACCGCCGGGATTCAATGGTGTTGGCCAGCCGCCTTTCAACCCACAAACTGCGCCACCTGGGTTTGGGCCACCTGGATTTGGACCTCCGACTGGTGCGCCTCCACTACCACCAGGCTTCCAACAGCCCGGATATGGTGGCAGCCGGTGATCCTCGGAGCTTCTGGTCCGGCGAACCCCCCAAAGATCTGCTACAACCCCGATAATGATTTCTTTGAAATGATTTGATGATCCAAGGACCAAAGGCACTGATTCAAGTTTGATAATTCTCCTCATGGCTACCTCGGGCACGTTGACAGGGGGCGCCTAATAGTGGCATGGAGCCGGCTCACTATTGGCAGTGCATGGTCATGTAATAATAGGTCGTCTCTTTGATACAGAAATACCAGACAGACCGGTAATGATTTTCAGCACCTGATAATTGCTATCAATATTGAATGGCAACTGTACAAGTTTAAAAGTAAAAAAAGAGACCGCCACGTTTCTTCCAAACGCGACAGAAAATCCAGCTCCAAGTGGTAGATTGTTTAGACTGCAAAACGAGTTCGAGTAGTCTGGGAGACCAGAGACCTCTCTTCCCATCAACGGGAACCCTGCTAGCGACAAAACAGCACTGGTTGTGACAAGAAAATAAAAGGAAATACAATTATGTTAAAAGAACGACTGGCGGTATAGACGTAGATAGCTCATGAAAACGAAACGAATTTGGGGTCCCTTGGACGGCCGTCAGGTCCGATATTGTTCTTTGCGAATCGTTGCTCTGTGTAGATCCGACGCGCTTCGTCGAAGTCAACCTTCTGATTCTTCATGATCTTTCGCACCTCCCTCTTTGCTTTTTGATCCAAGCCACCTCTGGAATCACCACCGGCGACATTGGCCGCTAGATCGAATTGTGACGAGCTTAAACCAGCCTCCAGATCGGCCGTGAAACTAGAAGGAAGGCGATGGTAGATGTAGTCAGGGACCGGGATTAGTGGTATCCATCGTGACCGAGTGAGGTACAGTGCTGACATCTCATTAGGACCAGTTCGGTATAGCAAATGAACCAGCTTACCTGTTCCAGAGATTATGACCGTGAAAATGAGAGAATAAAAAAGGTAGGTCATGTTGAGTATGCCGAGGTTCTAAGAGAGGATATTGCGATGGCACCCTCGACCTCTCTAAGAGATGAAGTGTCCCTGTAGATAGGAAGCAGTTATTGGGGGAAAAGGCATGGAAACAAAACAAAAATAAAAGAAAGTTGGTTTACTGGGAAAGGCAACGTCAGCGCATCCGTCGGCAGCCTAAAGGTTGGAGATATCCAAGCGGAAAGCGGAAAGCGGAAAGCGGAGAAGGCTGACAAAAAAAGGTACAACGCCCTTTACAGTTGTACCATCAAGTGGAATATCAAATAGAATATGATACTTTCCAGGGTTGCATTTGTAGGTCTTATTACCTTTGCACTTTCGAGACTCGCAAGAAGTGTACAGAGTAAAATCCGAACTAGCCGATTTAGCGTGTCGATTTGATGCCTCATGATGCAAGCAACAGAGCCAAGATGTCAGGCCACAAGGCACCAAGGCACTAATCTATTCCCAAAGTGGCCGCCTTAGCGAGACATCCATTTCAGGTCTTGGCATTCGACACACACAATTTGGTCGAACGTGAAGACGGTTTGATAGCGACTACGATCCCTCAATTTCCCAACGCAACACCATCTCATCACAATGGCCACAAACATCTCTAACGATCTGGTCTGGCAGATCACCCGTATGTTCGACCTTTCGCAATTCTAGTTGGGAATTTTTACCTCGCTTTTTCGACCCGAACGTCTGCTGATCGCTCTTTGGAACAGGCAACCAGAACAGCTACCTGGTTAAGCGCAACAGCGGCGGTGGCTCCCAGTTTTCCCGGGACCCCTTGAACGTGCTCAACAAGCACTCTTACAAGGTATGGGCCTTAGGCTGTTGACTCCGGTGGATAGCTCTTTTTTGTGAATTGATGGCTAACAATGGTTTGGGATTGCAGTACGCCGGCTATGCCAACAACAAGGTACTTTGTTCTCTTTCTTGTTTGGTTCTCAGGGTGCTAATCCTCTCCTCAGGCCATCGGTGTCCAGGGTACCGAGAACGGTGTTGCCGTGACCACCAAGAAGCCCAGCAACCCCCAGCAGCCCGCTAAGAACACCGTCACCGTCACCTACGGTCCCAGCACTGCCACCCGCAAGTAAGCGAACCTGAATCCCTCACTCATGACCCATGTGACTGTTGATCAGTACTGATGGTAATTACCCCCAGGATCTACAAGGGTGTTGCCGACAAGACCGCCAAGCACGGATACCGTGCTGACATCCGCGAGGAGGCTGTTGCCCGTGTGAGCGCCATCCGTCGCTCGCAGCTTCCCAAGAAGGACACTCCCGCCCAGAAGCCCCGTGGCGCCAAGGCCCGCAAGGCTGAGGAGTCGGAGTAAATGCATTTCTCTGAAATGACCTTGAATTGTGGCATGTGAAGGATCTGGATTGGATGGGAGACCTGATAGGCGTATATCGCCGTGCTGGACTTGGGATAGATCCCCATGTAATCTAGCAATCATGCTCCGGGGCAGAGGAAAGACGACTGTCCCCAGAGAGAAAACAAATTCCAAAAAGAAGAGTTTTCTATCGGAAAAGAAATCAGCCTGAGAATGTCGTAGTACTACTGTAACATATGCATTCAACAACCGACCAGTCGGCCCGAGCCTCAGGACACGGAAATTGCTTCCCGCCTTTTCCCGATGGAACAATCCGCGCACATGTCGGAAGTTGGTTTGGAAGCGAGAATTTCCGAATAATGAAGGAGAGAAGAACAGGTATTTGGATCCATTAGAGGTTGGGAGAGGGAGGGGGGTTTAGTAGAGCCTATACTACCTACATAGATAGACCTACACTCTACCTTGGAAATTACCTATTTAAATACGGTGTACTAACACATATAGAACCATATATGACCACATATAACCATATATAAACATAACTAACACATAACTAGTAAGTATACGGATTTAACAATAAGCTACACGTCATTCGACATGTGGACGATGTACTCCGGGGTTGCCCCTCTCAGCCCCTCTCTTTATAAATCGGCCGGTTCCCTCCTGAGCTTTCCCCTCCTCCCCCCATCTCTTTAACTCTAACCTCATTCACAAATCATCATGGTCAAGGCTGGTGAGCTTTTTTGCCTTTTCTTTTCTTTTTCCTTTTAATGAATCATCCATCACTGACTCTGTTTTTTAGTTGTTCTCGGAGCTTCTGGTGGCATTGGCCAGGTTAGTCTTCAATTGGGACCTTGAGAAGCCCCAGCTAATCACGATATAGCCTCTCTCCCTCTTGCTGAAGGCTAGCCCTCTTGTTGACGAGCTTGCCCTTTACGATGTTGTTAACACCCCCGGCGTCGCTGCAGATCTCTCCCACATCTCCTCGGTTGCCGTACGTGTGCCCCTCCCCAAAGCGTCCCCAGTGAGCGCTGCGCTGACAATAAGTAGAAAATCACCGGCTACCTCCCCAAGGACGATGGATTGAAGCTTGCCCTGACCGGTGCTGACGTCGTCGTGATCCCAGCCGGTATCCCCCGTGAGTGGCACCATAGCCAGCATTGTTTATCGTGCTTTGCTGACAAGGTGACATGTAGGCAAGCCTGGTATGACCCGTGATGACCTTTTCAAGGTCAATGCCGGCATTGTCAAGACCCTTGTCGAGGGCATTGCCCAGTTCGCCCCCAAGGCTTTCACTCTCGTCATCTCCAACCCCGTCAACTCTACTGTCCCCATTGCCGCTGAGGTTCTGAAGGATGCTGGTGTCTTCGACCCTAAGCGCCTGTTCGGTGTGACTACCCTGGACGTTGTTCGTGCCGAGACCTTCACTCAGGAGTTCTCTGGCGTCAAGAACGCCTCCGATGCCACTATCCCGGTCATCGGTGGCCACTCCGGCGAGACCATCGTCCCCCTGTTCAGCAAGGTCTCCCCTAGCTTCCAGATTCCCGCTGACCGTTACGATGCTCTTGTCAAGCGTGCGTAAAATTGATCCTTAATATGGTGATGAGTTGCTGACAGGTCACAGGCGTCCAGTTCGGTGGTGATGAGGTCGTTCAGGCCAAGGACGGTGCTGGTTCCGCTACCTTGTCCATGGCATTTGCCGGTTTCAGGTATGTTTCCCACTCTATCCTTGAAATTTTAGCCGTGACTGACTTTTACAAGATTTGCCGAGGCCGTCATCAAGGCTTCCAAGGGCGAGAAGGGTATTGTTGAGCCTACTTTCATCTACCTGCCCGGTGTTGCCGGCGGTGACGAGATTGCCAAAGCCACCGGTGTTGAGTTCTTCTCCACCCCCGTGGAGCTCGGTGTAAGTATTCATTATTGAACGCGCATTAAAAACGGCTAGCTGACATGATTGATACAGCCCAACGGTGCCGAGAAGGCCATCAACATCCTCGAGGGCGTAACCGAGCAAGAGAAGAAGCTTCTTGAGGCTTGTATCACTGGTCTTAAGGGCAACATCGAGAAGGGCGTTGAATTTGCCAAGAACTCACCACCAAAGTAAGGACTCTCACCCTCGCACCATGCATTGCAAAAACAACTCCCCATATCGAGTCTCCTTTGTCACACCTTTTCCCCTATCGATGGGTCCATCGCTTTCACGGATATGATGACATCGGGAATTGACAGAGCGTCGCTAATCAATTTTGTGCCCGGAAAGATAGGCTTTGAATGCGACACCATGAGATTATGAACAACGAGTAGACACAACAGTGTGTGGTCCTTGATCAGGCGGGAAGAAGATGGGTTTGGCACAGAATTAGCAACAAACCTGCAATGAAATAAAATCCGGAGTCCCCTGTATGGTAGCCTGTTTCAAGTAGTTGCAAGACTCGGAACGGCCTATTGTCCTCAACCGAGGAGAACCGTGAGAGAAGGATACCAAAGCTAGGGCGGTCGGTGCCATCATTGCCGTACAATGGGCCACCGAATCAATTGAAGATACAGTCCAGACCCAGGCAAATGCTCCCATCTTCAAGGCCGGGGCTGGAGGGTTTTGATCTGGAAAGTCGCACCTGGCAGGTCCGATGTCTCGGCCTGCACGGTTGTGTTAATGCCCAAATTGGCCAATGCGCCCCGAATAACACCGCAGGGAAACCAAAGGTACTAGGTCAGTTTGTAAGCTGCTAGGCCTCAATTCGAAAGTGGTTACAAGTAAATGCTTACTGCTTGCGCCATAGATATCGCATCGCTCCGGACTGCCATGCTCATCCTCCCAAAAGGCCGGAATGCGCTATCGGTCAAAACGTAGACCCCCTATTTATTTGATCACATCAGTGCCTCAGAACTCCCAATGCAGGCGCAACAATGGCCAGCTTCCTGCGATGCGTGTTCCATATTCACCTACCCGATGGTTTGTTTTCAAATTGTCCACCTGCTTCTTAAATAAGACTGTCCACAGATCCTTGCAGAGGAACTTGATCACATCGAGATTATCGGTAAAACGAGGCCGATCTCGAGAAAACCTGGATTGTCCGATTGACACAAATCAGCACACTGAACTATGGAAGACGCACTGGAGAACCTCTGAATGTAAGGAGACTGTTCAAGCTTACCGTTCCGCAAGGCCTTGTCCAACACGATAACCCAAAGACTCCAGACGGAAGAACGTCGTCTCCCTTACCTCTTCATCTTCGGTTTCTTTGCCCTCAGTTGCTAGATCCCGTGCCATACGCTCGGCCATAGGCACCAGTTCTATGAGAAGGAAGTCGAAGCATGAGGAGCTGAAGACGCGGGCGTTCGGATCCGAGGTATTTAATGGCGGGGAGGATGAATCGAATGACATGGCGAAAGCTCAAGATCAATAGGCAGCCAAGAATTGCAAATGGAATTGAATGTATCTCGAAGGACGTGATGAGGAAGAGAAGTCGGGAATGCGGAGTTGGGGAAGTCCAAGCTCTCCGCCCGAAGTGTTTGCTTATCTACGGAGATCCTACCTCCTAGGTGACTTGCATAACATGAGTAGAAGCCATTTAGAAAAAGATATGCACCGATCAACTCATTGAATGACTTGGCTCACTGGAATAGCTAAAATATTGCAGTCCCTCCGCTCAAATAATCACCTATGATACCAATATCCCAAGACCCCCGAACCTGGTCGCGCCATAAAACACCATGAAAATATGCAGCTTTCGAGAAAAAAGACGACCATTTGTGACCATGAACTGGAGATTTAAGTCTAAATTGATGGAGGATAGGAACTGCCATTCAGGGGGCTACTGGCCGACGGTAGGTGGTAATCTTGTCGGGGAAAGGATCGAGATGGCAAGTTTGGGGCGAGCCGTTTAGGAGACGGAACAGGAAACTCATCATCCTCGTCGCCACTTTCTGTGAGATCAATGACTTGGGAGACAGGTCTCTTTTTGTTCGACAGACGCGCAACGGAGGACGGGGTTGATGCCTCCCTTGACTGCGCGGGTGTCCTTTCTAGAGCGATATTTGGGGGTCCCGGTTCCTGTTTTACAGAGGGAATACCCGGTTCGCTGATTTCAATCAAGTCATCATCGTCGTCGTCGTTTGATGCTGGCGTCATACCGCCCAGCTTGACTATGTCCGAGTCACTAGGACCTGACCACGCACCGTCAGGCTCAACGGTGACTTGATCGATTTCCGATGAAGTTGTTTGAAGGATGTCATCAACGTACCTAACAGAGTTAGAAAAGGATAACACGTGCTGCAATAGACGAGATGAAAACTCACTGGTCGACTTGCAGAGACTCGAAGCTAGTTGATTTGGAACACACAGGGCAGGTCCAAGTTGGGGCTTGCTTTTGTAATTCTAAGAAAGATGATGCATCGAAGCACTGGTTGTGAGTGCAAACGATAGACCGACAAGGAACCTTGATGCGAAGGGTCGATAGAGGGCATTTCAGCGACATGACACTCGATGTGGCGACGATATCAGAGTCGTGTGCGCGATTTTTCACTAATGTCGACATATGTTAGAGAAGGTGTAAAGGAAGTAGAGGACTGTCTTACTTTCACGTATGACCTGCTCCTTTGAAATGAGTTTCCGTGTCCTCAACTGCGAGACGAGATCCTCAATCGGATGTTGTCTGACGAGGTTGGCAAGCGCGAAGAATTTCTGTGGTAAGTCAGCGAAACTGTCAAATGAATGCTCCACCAATGAGTAGCGACATAACGGTTCCAACCTTTTGCGTCAATGCATAAGTCATGACAATGTTGTTCGGGTAATCGGGCTTCTTCCGGATGTAATTGGTGACATCTGCAGGTTGCGTAGTGCCTGGTCTGTTTTTCAAGCCTCTGAGATTGGCTTTCACTTCATCGAGATTCGCCTTGAGCTCCACCTGATGTGGAAATGCGATATCCGACTTGGTGTACTGGGTAAGGCCAGAATCTGCAGCACAATATACCATGACTCGGGCGTTGGAATCCATCTGCAACTTTTGAGCAGTTCGCGGAGAAAGCATGACCTTGAGTTCCACACTATCCCGGGTTTGTTCGCGAACTTGATGAAGTTAGACTTGAATGATCAACAGAAGATTTCCAGAGTGACATACTCTTGCATTCCACCACAGGAGTTAAGGCCTCAATAATCGTAAAGAAAGGGCTTTCTTTAAACTCCAAACGACCTGGAGGCCTATTAGAGGCCGCAGGGGGTTTTGAGAGAGAATTGCCCGGACCAGCAGTGTACGGGTGGGGTGACATGGAAACCCCGAGGGTCGCCGACCGAGCCTGCGCGGGAGACTGTGAAATGGGTGGCGCCTGATATTGATTTCCAGTATGTGCTGAGTATCGCGACCTGGGGAGGGCAACATCCAGAATGCGCCGCGCTAATGCATCGAAGCTTAGACGGTCTGAGGTCGCAACTTCTTCAAGCCCTAATCCAAACTGTAAGCAACCATATTGACCAGAGCTCATTTTACAATGGGATTAAATGGAATGCGGGAGGAAGAGGAAGAGGAAGAGAAAGAGGAAGAGGAAGAAGGAGAGAGGAAGATTGACGAACGTTGGATAATGCGGAGCTGCAGGGCGATCTTCACTCCCGATACCTGGAGGCTTTCGGACCTCAACAGATCTTTTAATGACGGGTTTGTCAGTGTCTTGATGAGGGCCACCAGTGTTGGAACGTCCGTCGAATGGCCTGGGGTTGCCATGATTTCGTTCAAAGAGAGGAGTTGCAGGAGCAATCAAGGAGGACTTGGTCCGATATTCCTCAAAAGACAAGAGTCCAATTCAGCCAGAGCGATGATAAAGGGTCTGCATCTATACATCTCATGTATATAAGAAGAAATCACCAACCCCGAGTCAAGAGTGATATGCCTCGGAGGTGAGGTGCGGCCTCCGGATGACATAAGACACTTATCTGAAAAAAAAAAGTTATCACTCTCCCCCCCATTTATTTGCCTCGCTTTCTTTCTTTACTTAATTTTACTTTGGCATTTCTTCTTTTCCAAAATGGCGAAAAGTGTGCGTGCCAGCGTCTCGAAGCGCAACAGAGCCAATCTCCGCAAGAAGGTGTTTGGCCCGGTCGTTGATGCTAGAACCGAGCGACTCGCAGCCAAACTCCAGGAGCTTGCTTCACAACCCCGGCCCGAAGCCCCCGAGAAATCAAAGATGGATCTAGAAGGTGATTCTGGTATGTCCCCTGTGTTCGATTATACAAGGATCCTGGCTCACTTCTTATCACAGTCAACCAAGAGGAAACTGCTGCCAAGGCCTCTCAAGCTGGCGTAGACGAAGGTTGGTCTATATTATCACTCTAATCGTCGATTATTGACTTGCAAACGCTAACCATTCATTTGCCACAGAGATGGATATCGATTCCAAGACCTCCAAGAGCCGATCCTCGAAAGCAGGACGTGTGCAAAAGCGCAACCGCAAGCCCCGTAACTCTATTGTTTTCCAAGCACGTCCTTCCAAGTCCAAGAAGGGTTACAATAAGAAGTGAGGGTCAAGAAAAGAATGAGTTATTGAATCCCGGAGTGGCGGAGATTAAACAAAGGCGTTTGGGAGTTCACTGATGATTACACCTGCGATCCACATACATATGTTTCATAGTCTGTGCCTCATGATATACTTTACCTTTCATTGAAAGCTTTGAGGAAATTGCGTAAATATAAGTTGGGATACTCTGTACACTGGAACTAAAGGCGGTGTGGGGATGCCCGTCGATCGTAAACACAATTCTGCCCCCCTTTGGACATTTATGTCCTTTCGACTCGGTGTTCTTTAGTTCTTTGGTGTCTGTGTTTACTGCCTTGACGCAGCAAATTGGCAATGGTGGGCTTCCGCAGTTGGGCGACTGTAATCGCCAATCTGTTGGTGCCCGTGGGCATACTGACCTTCTCCTCCGGGTTCTTCCCATATAAACCGTTGATTCCTGGACTAGCGACCTTTGAAGAGGGGGATGAGCATGCAGCACCGGCAGTGTTTGAGAAGGTCATTTTCATGGTGGTTGATGCATTGCGGAGGTACGACCGGTATTGAACACCAATATTGTATGGAGCTAATGTGATATCAGTGACTTTGTATATTCAAATGACTCCGGATTCTCGTTTACACAAAGGTCAGAGCCATACACCGTGATCAGAGAATAAGTAACTGAACCAAACATAGCTTGATCCGATCTGGTGCTGCGTTACCATTTACGGCCTATGCGGGCTCTCCAACTGTTACAATGCCTCGCTTGAAAGCCATAACCACCGGCTCAGTTCCATCTTTCTTAGATGTGATTCTAAACATTGCAGAGTCAGACACTTCATCAACCTTGGCGTTCCAAGACACATGGTTGGCGCAGTTGAAAGCAAGAGGGGAACGACTGGTGATGTACGGGGACGACACCTGGCTCAAACTCTTCCCTGGGATGTTTGATCGGGCTGATGGGACCACGAGCTTCTTCGTGTCGGTCAGTTGTACTCTCTCTAGGTCTTGCAACCTTAGTATTGAAGCTGAAATCCTTACAGGACTTCACCGAAGTAGACCATAATGTGACTCGGCATGTTCCTACCGAGCTCGCTCAGAGTGATTGGTCTGCTTTGATCATGCATTACTTGGGATTGGATCATATAGGCCATAAGGCGGGCCCCAAAAGGTATCTGCCAATCCTCACGCCTTTGTACCTGATCACTAACCCATTATCAGTTCCTTCATGATACCGAAACAGCAGGAGATGGATTCCGTGGTGACAGAGATATATACCGCGATGCAAAACGAGCAACATCTTCGATCTACGCTTTTCGTCTTGTGTGGAGACCACGGCATGAATGATGCTGGAAACCACGGCGGGTCCTCAGCCGGAGAGACTTCACCTGCCTTGGTCTTTATTTCGCCAAAATTCGAGGCTTTGAGTGGCCGGAGAGAAAGCCCAGTGGAACCATTTGATGATTTGCAATACTATCGGACAGTTGAGCAAGCAGACATCACTCCGACATTAGCGGGACTTCTTGGGCTCCCCATTCCTTTGAATAGCTTAGGTATATTCATCCCTGAGTTCTTGGAGATGTGGGAACATGGTATGCACTTGATTATCATACACAGGCTAGAAAGTGACCCAGGCTGACTCGGACATAGGCTCTCAGAAACTTCAGATTCTAAATCAAAATGCCAAACAGCTGCTGAACACTCTCAAGACAACATTTCCTGGGACGAAATTTGGTCCCGAGGGCATCGAATCTTGTGCCTCTGGGGCCGAATCAGGCATTGAGGCTGCTCAATGTGCATGGGCTCGAATTCAGGAACTCATTTCTGATGGTGCTGACCCCGAGGATTCCTATTCCACCATTGGTCCGATTTTGTTACAGTTCTCAGAGGTTGCCCAGGACATCATGAGTCGCACTGCGAGCAATTACAATATCTACAGGCTTTGCCTAGGCCTGTTTGTCACTGGAATTGCTGTTTTGGCTGTTCTTCCATTCACCTACGCAGAATGCAAACGGCACATATCTTCCGGATTGTTTCTGGTATTCATGGTCATCACCTATGGGCTCATGATGTTTGCAAGCAGCTATGTGGAAGAAGAGCAACAGTTTTGGTATTGGATATGTTCCGGGTGGACTTTTTACTTACATGTCAGATCGGAGTCTGCAAGATCGGACTCACACAAACGGACTCAATCACTAACGTTCTGGTCCGGAAATGGCAACATGATTGTATTTGCGATTACGCAGAGACTCCTTCGACGGTGGAACCAAACAGGACAAAAGTTTGCGGCCGAGCCTGATATTGCTCGCACATTCTTCCCACGCAATCCTGATATCTTCTGGGGCCTTCTCATACTCGCTTATGCAGATGCCGGTATTCATCTTCTCCGGAATCTACCAGTATCTGGACTGCCACAGCTAGGTGCATTGCTTCTTGCCGTCTTGGCCTTTACATTCAAGTTGCACTTTGTGGCATCGGAGTCCCCCGAACTTCTTGATGGGACTTTTATCTCCCAGCTTGTGGAGAAATGGCCTTACAGCCTCTCATTGGTCTTACACGCCAGAATTGTCTTCTATGGGATAGGTGTTGTCATTCTGTTGGCACTCTTGACAGGGATGACAGCAAGAGCGACCCGAAGTAAGCTTTGTGAACCCCAAACTCCCGTGAACCTGGCTTTACATGACTGATCTGAATCTGCAGCGTCCCACCACACTATCCATGAAGCTTTGCACATCTTCTTAATGACACAGTCTCGGGCCACGAATGTCCCATTGTTCTTGATCTTTCGAGTGCAGGCCAGCATTATCTCTGCAATGAACCTCACGGGAAACGAAGTAACGATCACGACCTTGATCTTCCAGTACATGACATTCTTTGCATTTGGCGGCTCAAATGCAATCTCTTCGGTGGACCTTGCCAGTGCCTACAATGGCGTCGGCAGCTACAGCGTGATACTCGTGGGTGTTCTCACCTTTGTGAGTAACTGGGCGGGCCCTATCTGGTGGGCTTCACAAAGCCATCGTCTTCGGCCGAAGAGGCCCGAGCAAGATCATCTGACATTGCTGACCTTTCACATTGCTATGTCGTTGGCCTCTGTCATGGCTGCCTGCACTGCGCTACGGACCCATCTCTTCATTTGGACCGTCTTCTCCCCCAAGTATCTCTACAGTATGGCATGGGCCACTGCCAATCATGTTGGCGTGAATATACTTGGTGAACTCTTGTTCTCTGTATCTCGATAGTGACATAAATCATAAGTTGATATCGCATGCATGCTTCATAAAAATACAAGTCTTGGGCAATTAAACTCCCCCCAACCAAACGTAACTGTACAGGATATAAGACCATTTAAAACAAACCGTTGAATAAATCATCAATAGCATTCTTCTTCTTCTTCGACTTCTTGGACTTTGCTCGTTTCAAATCAGTCTCTGCGGGCTCGGGTACTGACTCAGGTCGAGATATCTTGACTGGCTTGACGAGAGGTGCTTCGTCAACGCGGATCACTCGTTCCCCGAGATCTTCCTTGGCGACAGGGCCTGTCTTCTTGCGCCTAATTGCCCCGGGCTGAGTCTTCAGTTCCTGACTGATTCCGGTCACTTTGGACAGTCGCGCCAACGTAGCTAGGAGCACGACCCCAAGTGAAGAGAACCGGTTGTCAGCAACAACCGTGGAAAATGCCCTGGATAAATGTCAGTGCGAGATTTGGGAAAAGGGAAATGCCAGGCAATGCGTACACATAGCATCGCGGGACGATGTGAACGAGGTGAGCTTGCGCGCCCGATCGGGCGAGATCCAGGGTGGCGCGCTTTAAGACCGACAGCCATTTCCACCACTTTGCGCCATGGTGTTGATTCTTGTTACGATGAAAGATCAAATGGAGTATTGAGTGGATGGCCAGGATTTCTTGGGAGTCCATGGCTTTGCCAAGGAGACAAAATCTGAGAGGAAAAGTCTTCCCGCCCCGACTACGTACCCTACGTTTTTTGAACTGGTATTATCTTTTCCCTTTTTTTGGCAGATAAGTTCAATTCTCATAAAAACAAAGTACTCAGTGGGTGCAAACGTATATTCTACGTCAGAAGATAAAACCCTCTCCTCCAGGTTCCACGACAGAATATCATATCCCGGACGCTCTCAACCAAATCCTTCAGTTTGCATTCGAATTTAACTCCGCCTTCCTGTGCTTCAGGGAGACTTCGTTGTCTGACTGCTTGTTTTGTTGAGATTTTCGAGTGTTTTTGTGTTTTGTCCTTTTTCTTTCGTTTCTGTTTCAATAGTGTTGGCCATGCTGCAGGTTGCCGACGTGGACCGGAGGCACGAGCCTCAGTGCTGGGCAGAATAATTACTCGTCCTCTGTCTTGATGGAACGATCATCATCAAGTTGCATGGGAGAGCTGAAATCATCATCACTGTTCAGCATGGCTTGTCCAACTGATCCTCGGGGAGTTCGAAGGAAGGGTCGAGACCGGAGGTTTTGACTGAAGGACTGCGCGCGAGCTCGGGGACGACTGCGACTGCCACTAACTGGAGTAGCGACATCTCGGGCACGAGGAGCAAAGAGGCCTGTACAAGGGTCAATTCAAGTTCAGAGGTCAAAGGAAGAGAGGCCTTACCTTGCTGGGTAGTACTGGCAACCGAGCGACGAAGTTTGCTGGCATCATTCGGAGGTGGGAATTGTGCCTCGGTTCCGGAACGAGGTCCGCCAATGTGGAATAACTGCAATTCATATAAATTAGCACCGGTAACAAGTCAAGGTGGATTGCAACTCACACGAGGGCGTTCATTGGCAGGACGGGTCATCACATTGCTGTTGCGGAACTTGGCAACGAGCACATCCTTTCCTTGGAGAGCTAATGAAGTTTGTCAAATAACCTTTCTTGTCAGCCAGGGAGGGAATACAAACTGGCATAAGAGATCTCTGCCTTCTTCTCGGAAAGACAATCGGGCCTTTAATTACCATTAAGTCAGCGAGCATGCACTGGTTGGAATCAGATGGGAGCAAACAAACCAGGTCTTGCCCTGACGAGCCAACATGAGCTAAGAGGAGGAGTATGGTAAGCAGATGTCATGAATTGAATTGTAGTACTCACGTCAACAATATCAATTGCCTGGGAAATGTTAGCCTAGTACCAGAGACCAGCACAGGTGGAGAGGAGGGGAAGGACCTACATCTCCAAAGTTGACAAAGGCGTAACCGACGCTGGAAGGCAAAGGTGAGTATGTGTTCGAAAAAAAGACCCTAGCCGAAAGAACATGAGTATCTCGGACTTACTTGCAGCCATGATTGAAATCTGGTAGTCATAAGTTAGTAGCTAACCAAGAGAAACGCCGTTGATATCACTTACCCATGCGCAGATAGAGGAAGTCATATTTTCCGAAGCTTGATTCATCCAGGATATTCTTAAGCTCGTCCTGTTGGGAGAACACTTGTTCAGTATTTGTGGCTGGCCAAAAAAAAAGAAGAAAGAAAAGAAAGGAAGAAGACGGGGAGAGAAAATGCATACCGAAGTAATCTTGTTGGGAATATTTCTGATCATAATCTGCAAGGAGGAATATATTAAAATCATCCTCGAGTCTGATGAGAGGAAGAACTCACTGTGCTGCGGACGTCCATGCCCCGGTGAATGAGGTCCATATCGATCTTGTTTTCGCCATTGGAGCTTTCCTTGCTCGGAGAGGTATCGCTGCTCGAGGAAACAAAGTCCGGAGTCAATGGAACATGTTGGGAGCTCACGCTGGGGGTTCGAGGGTGGAAACCCCGGTTGGTCTCATCCTGTGGACGGTTGAAGGAAGCATAGAATGTAAGATACTAAATAAGAACAAAATTAGTATCGTACTTTCGAGACGTATTGATTGCATCAAGAAAGATGGGAGAAAAGGAAACATGGGAGAAAAGGAAACATGGGAGAAAAGGAAACATGGGAGCAAAGGAAACATGGGAGCAAAGGAAACATGGGAGCAAAGGAAACATGGGAGCAAAGGGGATATGAGCGCAAACGATAAACAAAAGATCAAACCTCATATTTGAACCCTTTAAGACAGGCAAAAGCGTAAGAAGTATGGCGTGTGCTGTAAAATTCGACTCTATACTTCTGAGCTACCGATCCGCTTTCGGAGAGCCGAAACAATCGCACATCGCCAAGAGAACGAACTAGACGCTCCACCAGATCATGATAATCTTCGGTCAGGCGGTTACCGTTAGCGCGAACAGTTACCATAAGTATGCCATCGTTCGTGTTTGAGGTGCTAGGGATGTCGAATTCATTGGTGAGATTCGCAATATCTTGAGCTGAGGCAGGATCCACAACCCATTCAGGATGAATGTATCTGAGTCGGTGAATAGAACGTGTCACGTCACGGAGATCGGCAAACAGAACTGAAAATCGGCCTTGGGTCTGGAGGTCTCTGAGATAAACACTGTCGACGGAAGGGTAATCCCCAGGCTTCAAAATGTCAGCATTGGTTCATTGAATGATTAACCTTGCTTTGCAACTCACAAGAAAGTGCTCCAGCACCGACCAATGAGTAGAGTTGGTAGGAACACCGTTGACGATGAAGCCACGCTGATTGTCAGTGGCCAACGAAGGGAGAACGGGGGGAGGCAGGCCATTCAGAATATGAGCCAAGCCCTGACTAGGGGCGCTGGTGTTCCTTGGGAAAGGCGACACTGGATCAAGTCCAGCAGGTTGATCAGCAGAGGCAGCCAACAAACGGGTCAAGAAGTCCGGGTTTAGCGGGCTGGGCAAGTCCACTCGAGACGGCGAGTAGGCTGGACGGCCAGCGTGGGTAGGCGAGTACAGAGGCTGAGGATTGTACTTAGTATGAGCCAATGAGTGCTGGGTTTGCGCAGGCGAATATTGAGATGGAGGCGGGATACTAAAAGCCGGAGCAGGGAGTGCAGACATAGAAGCACCACGAGAATGAGACAGGCCAGTGCCCGGGGCAGACATTCCTGGTGAGAAAATTCTCTGGGGCCAACCGCCACATGGGTCGCTAAAAAGAGGTTAGTATTCAGAGCTGGACATAACAATTGATCTTGAAGCCTCTTACGCAGACCGAAGAGTCGACATTCCAGGGAATGCGATCGGGGTTCGTTGAGAGGCAGCCTCAACAGTATTGGGACTGAAGGCCGCGAGTTGGTCCGAAGACGAACTCTGAGTGGAGTGCGGATCAGACATGCTGTCCGTAAGCTCAGATCTGTTCCCAACAAGGTTAGCATCGTCAAATATAGTAAGGAAAAATTGAGCATGGTTGTTCGTCTTTTTTTGAAGCAGTGACATATGATGTGATGGATGATGTAGAGCTCGAACAGGCTTCACAAACTTCCGCGTATTCGGGAAGTATCAAGGTAGACATATCATGTTGAAATGAGAGAACAGGTCAAACAAGAAGCTCGAAAATCTCGTAAGTTTCTGCGTAGGAAGTGACGAGGTTTCGAGGAGTTTAACCACGGGGCAAAGGCCAAAGCCACGGGGTAAGCCGACAAAGGTAAAAACGACAAGACATAAAATGCTTTGAGAGAAAACGAAGAACCTGAACAACTTACTAGCTTTGAATATCAAGATAAAAGTTCGAATGGAAAGATAAGACGAGTCAAAAGCGTGAGTTATCGACGAGGGAAGAAATTGTCAAGCCTTCCGTGGACTTTATATATTGTCCGCGTTAAGACAAAAGCTATTCGACCGACGACTCATCGACGACTCATCTTGAGCCCTCGACGATTCATCCCAACACTTTGCCCTGACTCCGCCGCGACACTCTAGGCAATACCCTTGGCAACAGGCAATTGATTTGGCCAATCATGGTAATGGATATTTGGTGACTAGCTAGTGCTGCACAGATCGGCTTGGATATCATGACACTCGGCGAAACTGATCATCTAAACCAGTGCTACTGGTACAAAATCCAACCATGCTTTACAACACAAAGTTGTAAAAGTTCTGTATATCACTGTACCAAAAGTCAGTTCAAATAATCAGATATAAGCTTGAATGAAATTATCTATCAGCAAAGCTAGGATTATCACCTTATGGGTTCCAGGGCTCATTTGTTTGGGTTCCTGTAAAATTGGCAGGGGACAGAAAGGGCAGCAGAAACAACCTGCACGTGCTCCATTAGTGTTATGATATATTATCAATCATGAGTGCCATATACCAACCATTCACAATTGGCATCATCTTCACAGCAAGTATATACTTCGAAGTATAGATGTCGTTGCGCAAGGTTCACGCTAGTGACCTGCTAGTCTTGATTTGATTAGCGTGTTGAATGCGGTCAACTCTGTTGTTGGCAGAGAACCAGACCGCCCGAGGACGTCAGACCTCCCCCAGAATATCAGCCTTGAATCTATCTATCTACAAGCTCAGCACCGTGCGAATTTGAACTTGGATCTTGGATTTCCCGGGATATGAAGCCAAGCCATGGCGCCGTTGGCTCCAGTGCTCAATGAGCCACACGTCCTGAACCAGGTAAGAGCCAGCATGCTGTTCGTTAGACTGACGATTGACCCCTCGCCCCTAGATTATTATCTCACCCTCTGACACGGACTACCTCGACCAACTCATCCCTTCGATTCGGGATTACAGCGTCGGTAACCGCACCCCTCAGCTTCTGCAGTCACTTTCCAGATTCGCTGGCGACAAGGAATCTGAGATAGAGAGTATCTGCAACACAAATCACCAGGAGTTTGTCTCATCTGTCAATTCACTGCTTCGTATTCGGGAGGGCACTGTGAGCTTAACGGGAGAGATTCTGGACTTAAACCAGTCCATCCAAACCAGCACTGAGCGCTTGGCCGAACAGAAGAAAGCTTTGGTGGAGTCCCGAGGCCACCGACAGAATATTGACGAGACGTTTCGTGCCATCCAAGACTGCTTGGAAGTTCTGCGCCTAGCGAATCAAGTCCATGATCTTTTGGCAAAGAAGAACCACTATGCAGCGCTCCGGGCGCTGGAAGAATTACAAAATGTCCATCTGAAGGGGGTAACACAATACAAGATCGCAGTCATGATCCAGCGTTCGGTTCCAGCAACGCAAAGAGCCATTGCAGAGGCAGTGATGTCAGACCTCAATACCTGGCTGTACCGGATTCGGGAAATGTCCCAATATCTCGGCGAAATTGCCCTTTTCCACACGGATCAGCGCAAATCAAGGCAAAAGCAAAGGGCAGAGAAGATCCCTTACCTCGAGCAATTCAACTTGAACTCTGCGATAGAACTAGTATCCGATGAGGATGAGGAATATGATTTGCTCCAGAACGAAGACCTACAAGTTGACTTCACACCGCTGTTCGAGTGCCTACATATCCACCAGTCCCTGGGTCATATGGATAAATTTCGAACAGAGTACGCAACTACCCGCCGGAGGCAAAAGGACCTGTTGCTTCCGTCTTCCGTTACCCTAATGGATGAGGATGGCTCCAGTCTGCACAATCTCCTAGAGGAGATGGCTGGGTTTGCCATTGTTGAGCGGGCCACGATGAAAAGAGCACCAGACCTCAGATCATCCGTTGATGTAAGTGACATGTCCTTCCCCTCTAACCTACTCCCTCGCCAATATTAATCTAACATGTATACCAAATCAGATTGATGAGTTGTGGGATTCAATGTGCCAAGCGGCTGTGAAATTGATATCGAAAGCACTTCCCGAAGTCGATAATGCTGAAATCATCATCGACATCAAGAACCTGATTGCTTTGTTCATGCAGACCATGAACGTTGGTAACCCCCCTGGGCAAACTTAAGCTCGCATATCTGACATCTTTTAAATAGACGTGGAACTTTTCTGTGCGTGTCTTTGAGGACTTTACATTGAAGCTCTTCGAAAAATATGCCGAGCTTCTCAAGAAAAGATTCAGTGACGACTTTCAGGAGGTAAGACCAGCTGTCTGCACTATTTAGTCAGTTATACTGACGCTGCCAGGTTGTTACAACGGATGACTACATGCCTATGCCTATACAAACTCCAGAAGAACTTGAAAAGGTGCTCAATGTGAGCTGGTACAACCCAGGCAAATCGCGCGAGGAAGAAGTGTACGTTTTGTAGTCCGTACCGGTTGATCTTCATCTGTGGCTGACTGATGTTTTAGGTTCCCCTGCATATTGCCATTCTCCCGAATGTATCCACTCTGCTGCATTGATATCCGTAACTTTTTGAACCAGTTCTATTACTTCGCCAACGATAGTTTCGCGAACACAAATGTGATCGATGAGACATTGAAAAATGTAAGTCTGTGAAAGAACAAAAGTCAGGATGAAGAAGTTTGATGCTGAGTCCACAGGATTTGGATGACCTCCTTTCACACAGAGTCTGTGACACCTTAGTGGAGCGTCTTTCGTCGCAATATCTCGGTCAAATTGTTCAAATCCTCATTAACCTGGAACACTTTGAGGCGGCTTGTCGCGAATTGGAACTCCTTCTGGCAGCAGCTCGGTCACAAAACTCCACGGGTACCTCGATTGCTCTGAGGGCCACGGAGAAGTTCAGGAGTAATAAGAAGGCTGCTGAGAAGCGCATCTTCGAGGTTGTCAATTCCAAGATCGACGACCTTATTGAGACAGCGGAATACGAATGGATGTCCCCTACACCTCCTACCGAGCCCAGCAATTACATGCAGACCTTGACTCGATTCCTTTCAAATATCATGAACTCGACACTGTTGGGTCTACCGACTGAGATCAAAGAACTCATTTACTTTGACGCCCTCAGCCATGCCGCTAATATGATCCTGGTGTGTTATTGTATCCTCATCACCGAAACAAGGTTTTGCTGACTGGCCAACTAGGCACAACCACTCTCACCGGACGTGAGGAAAATCAATCCCAACGGAGTGGCAGCATTGGCCAAGGATGTTGAATATCTGGCTCAGTTTGTTGACAGTTTGAATGTTCCAATCCTTCGGGAAAATCTCGACGAACTGCAGCAAACGGTGCAATTGATGCAAGCGGATAATGCGGATGAATTCTATGATAGTTCTACGAGAAACAAGAAATATGGACGTGTTGATGCCATGCAGGGTCCCATCCTGCTTGAGAAGTACGTTACCATGTTGCGTCTCACTCTTCAGATATTTGCTGACTTGCTACAACTAGGCTCACTCGCACTGTCCAAGCACCCACCAAGGTGGATAAGTTTGCGACGCTTTCTTCACGGTTCAAGAAAACTGGTTGAGTATCTTGCTTCAACGGAGGAAGTCTCTGTCAAAGAACATGGGGAATACAGCAATGCAGATGAAATCATATCATGCCTGAAACTGGACCTTTCCCTTTCAAAGAAGCAATGTACATCCTAGGTGTCTTGAAATGAATATTTGCAAGATAGCTATCTTAAATGTAGACATTTCTGTTTCGTAGGTTGGTACCATGAATTTAAAGGCATAAAGCACAGTGAATGTAATCTCGAAGCTGGAAGAAAGGGAAAAAAGCATTCAGTATCGTGAAACCCCAATCACCTTCATTCTCTAGTGGGATATTATGCTTGCCCCAATATGTAACAGACAAGGCGTAGCCAGGTGAATACGGCGGCTGCTAGGCTTCGCCTGACGAGACAAAGCTTTTATACACACAGACAGTCCGCAATTGAAAAGAACAGATCGCCAGCGAGAGGATTTGGTTCTGCACCCGACTGAGGGCTCCACCGTACCTTTTGCCCGGTGAGAAAGGAAGAGAGAGAAAAAGAAACAATAAAGGCCCAGTATTCGCCTCAAAACGCGCATGAACTATTAAAATGACGAAATAGAGAATGCATTCATGTAACACTCACTTGAGAGCCATTAGTCTGTGCGCTGAAGAGAAGCATGAGGGTTATATAGGTACATACCTGCTGAGGAGGTAGATGCGGGTAGGCATACATCCCCTCGAACATTTGGGACTGGGGTTGTCCATATGCCGCAGTCGGGTCTGGTTGAACAGTACCTGGATACATAGCAGCCTGTGGGCGGTACTCCTGCTCTTGAAGAGAGTGCTGACCAAGGGTGCCGTAGTCCGCAGGGCCCATGTGCTGGTGTGGTTGCACGCCATGAGGAGCCGATGGCAGTTGACCAGGAGCGGCAGATGGACCAGGAGCGGTAGCAGCTTGACTTGACCGTTTGGCATGAGAAGTTGCCTCTTCCCGAGGCACAATGTCAATCAAAAAGTCAAACATATCCGATTTGGAGAGTGCGGCAGCAATGTCTGAGCGCTGCAGGGTGCGACGCTTGTTATCTTCGGCATGGATCCAGGCACGCATTGTCAATTCAGTGATGAAGATATCGCAGCCCTTGGCAAACAAGATTGGCGCCTCTGCGGAGATCATCTTAACCTCCGGGTCCGCTTTCATCACCTTCTTGATGCGAGCCAGCGGCAATTGGTGGATCTTGTAGTCATGGTTGTCTGACTCCAGGTGATTGATGACATGTTGCCAGTAGGTCGTGAGGATATCGCGAGCGGTTCCCTGGAGACCTTGGTTCACCTAGTTCTGATAAGTATCAAAGCTCGACATCCATTGGGCCCAATAACTTACGTTGGCCCAAGTACCAGTGTACAACTCGGCAACTGGCGCATAGCCTTGCGCTGAAAGCTGTAAATATAAGTTAGCTGCTGTCCAGCCCGGGATGCTTCGCGTGATCATGGAAGATAAGCCGCGTGCGGCTCAAAGTGGTGAACATACCGCTGCACTGGCCCCTATAATTCATGAGAAGTCAGTACCTATTTAAACTCTCGTGTCCAAGTGACTGAAACCAAGCTAGCTGATTCTTCATGGAACCCGTCGCGCAATGATCATGTTGGGACCTAATTACCGTAGTGACCCCCATTCCTGATATCATAGACAGGCTGCTGCTGCGGCTGCCTGCCCTGCTGCCCAGCGCCTTGAGGAGCTGGTTCCATGGCGAATTATCTCTTTGTGATCAAGTGATATCGGCGTCTTGAGGCCAACGCAAGTTAGGCAGCCACGGTGAAGCGGAGGAATGCGACGCGTGACCGGGAGGAGACGTGGGGCGTTTAGGGAATCGAAGATTGCAAAACCGAGGGGGAAATGAGCGCCGCTATATGGTCAACAGAGAGAACATTCAATATCCTCAAAGACAAGTGGACTGTTGTGTCGAGGCGCGTAGGGTGCCAAGCATGGAGGTGCTCAGCTGTCTGACGTTTCCGGGGGCCCCCTCCGCGTATTTAGTTGGATACGTTTGTACATCTACATAGGGCCGAATAGGCAGTTTTTATGTCTGATTTCTTATTTGGTTTGAAGGAAGTGATTTAACGCGACACTCAAAAGTACAGGTAAGCAGTAACATTTGTATACATTGTTATACCTAGACCTTACTGGTGATTGCTCCGAGGCTTTCCTACAGCTGTATCGCGAGTACATCAGACAGAGGTACTAGTACTTACTTTTTACCCTTAGACACAGGCCAACTCTTTGTATCTGATACTTAGTACCGAGTTCCCTCTTCTCACGTGAGGTCCACTGTCGCACTAAGCAGAAATTTCTCATAAACGTTTGTCCGGTCCCGAGAAGCAACAAGCAAAGCTAGAAAAATATAAATTCCCTCCGCTCACCTTACCTCCTCGAGTTTCTTGCTATCCTCCCTGATCAGTAGGGATGGCAGACTCAACAGACATCCACCAGGATGTGGATCTGACTGATGATCAGATCCAGCAGCTTCTGCTTGAAGCAGAGACCCGATTGCAAGGTCCCGGTGCTGTGAGCACCACCGTCGACGATCTTACAGCTCTCAGGATTCCCAAATTATCAGCCGGGTCTTCCTTTGAGCCATATGTTAAGCAGGGGGATGATGTTGCTACTGTCGAAAAAGCAAAGATCACCGACCCAAAGCAGAAGGCGTTGTCCAACACACTCCACACCGTTGGAACCAAGAAATCAAATAAAGTGAGTCTACCAGTCACCCCACCTCTGTTTCCCCCGTGCTATGAGGAAAATTATCCCAACGCAAAGCGCTTGATGCAGCGTAACCAGTCCGTCTTGGGCTGTGCTGCACTAGTGAGAGCTTCATTTTCATAGTTACTCTGAGCACTCATCACAACTACTATCTCTTTTTTGGTGTATCATGTTTTAGACCAAACGCTGACATTCTTCACCTTTGATAGGATAAGCCGACTGCTGGACCTGAGTGGTTCAACCTCCCGAAGACAGAAATGACACCAGAGCTGAAGAGAGATCTGCAACTTATCCGGATGCGCTCTGTGCTTGATGCTAAGCGACACTACAAGAAGGACAATGGCAGAGCGAAAGCGCCGGAGTTTTCTCAAGTCGGAACCATTATTCAGGGCCCGACTGAATTCTTCAGTAGTCGCATTGCCAAGAAGGATCGCAAGAAGAACTTTGTTGAGGAGACCCTCGCAGTCGAGCGCGGCAACAAACGCTTCCAGTCCAAGTACAGAGACATCCAAGCCACGAAGACAAGCGGTAAAAAGGCTTTTTACAAGGACCTGCAGGCAAAGAGAAGTCGGAAAAACAAGTGAAATTTCCATTTCTGCCCTCTTTACAATATGCCAGGAATAACCATTTGACCCTGGCCATTCCAGTATTCTGGACTTGGTTCGTCATCCCTTGATGTATTCATATGACTGGCCACCCGTCGCATTTGTGGGCGCACAGGCATCTATGTGCTTGAACGTCTATGTGCCTGAACGTCTATGTGCGCCTCTTAAGCTTGCTCAAAGGCATTAACCAGGGATTGGACAACCAATTTCTAACTCGATGTCAGCTTGTGCTACCTGGCATTAGGGCTACAGTGCAGTGATCTCTCTTACCTGCATATCAAGGGCTGCCGCACGGCCAGCCTCCAGGACTTCTTCATGGCCTGCCTTGCCCTCTTCCAGTATGGCAGTCAGCTCATCTGCTGCTTTGCCCTGGAGAAGATCTTCATCTCCCCTAGGAACAGGAGACAACACGGCTTTGTTGGTGACTAGACTGAAGGCAAGCAGTCGGAGGCCACAATGCCTGGCGACGACAATCTCAGGTACTGTGGACATGCCGACCACATCGGCCCCGAGCATTCGAAGCATTCGGCTCTCGGCTCTCGTTTCGTAACTTGAGGCCATCAGAAACCAAATTTCAGGGATTGAAACATTTCAGGAGTCTACTTACGTGGGGCCTCCGACGAATGCATATACACCCTCGTGCAACTTTCTGCTGCTTTCTGGGGATATGACTGTCTTCCATGCTTGATGCACATGGCGACGCAGCTCAAGGTCATAAGCGTCAGACAAGGGCGGGAAACGTACTCCAAACTCTTCCTCGTTGGGTCCCCTCAGTGGGTGGGTTCCTGCCAATCCCGCTAGGAACAGGTGCTGTAAATCAGTGTTAGCAATTTCCCGCAATAGCTTAGGCAAGGGTTTCTTGCATCATTCAGCAAAACCAAATCTCCCACGGAGTAATCAGAATTAAGGCCTCCGGCCGCATTCGTCACTGTCATACATCATAAAAATTTGTTTTCCCATGACAGTAGAGTCATGTATAACTCACGGACAACCGTATCAACTCCCAACTGCTTGAACACGCGAATTGGAAATGCCACTTGATCAATCGAGTGCCCCTCATAGTAACTAGGTCAAGGTCAGCAGTGGCAAGCAGACAGATTGTAGGAGCTTACTGGGCACGGCCAACCATCAACACTGCAGGGATTTTCTGGCCAAGGAACCCAAAGACCAGTTTCCCAGCATGTCCAGCAACTGTGATATGTTAAAATCACCGTCCCGGTTAAAGGAAGGCAACTAACCTGTTGAGCGTGGGAAATGAGGAATAGATCCGTAGTCATATTCAGCTCGTAGCTCAGTGTGAATCGTATCTGCGAGTCCTCCTAGTCCTGAACCACATACAATTGCGACCTGCGGCTTTTGCAGGCCTTCTGGCAAGGTATTTCTGAGATGGGCAACTGCTTCGTTGGCCCGCTGGAACGAGGACAGGTCTGCCATTCTTGCTATGGTCAGGTCAAATGTCAAAAATATAGAAAGAATAGCGTAGTTCTGTTCGGGTAAGAGGTGCGGAGTCACATGGTCCCATTCGCTTGGCGGGGCTCAAACGGACTGTGATAACAGATATTTCATATGAATGGCTTTGGTTCTACGGCATTTGCAGTCTAAGTAAGTCGACTGAAGCTATGTACTTGGAAGAGATGCAGTGTGTGCTGTCTATGAAAGTGCTATATATTCTGATCTTATCTGGGACGACGGGCTCGTCGGTGTGAATAGCATAATTATAGAAACAGTATATCGTAATAAGAGATAGGATACTGGTGAACTCTCCAATCTACATCAAAGTGTGTGATTTTGTAAGATTCCTGTGCTGCTACGCAGTCTAACTGGGAGTATATATAGAGAGACCGCGACGGAGTACATTTAGGGGTTTTTTTGGCCACAGTAGAGAAAGTAGAGAAATTGAACCCGACAAAAGTGCATTATATGCACAGCTTGGATTCTACATCCATGAACTCAGCAAATCAATACTCTACACAAAGCCTTAGGAAGATAGTCTGTACTGTAGTCTCTATAGCGATCCTCACCGCCTTAGGTCACTCCCGAAAAAACCCATCGCCAACAACAACGGATCTTCCTTAATTTACGATTAACTATGTTCTCATATCAAGCGTCGCGCTCCTTACTTGGAGTGGGCAAGCGCCTCAGGGTATGCGATTGTCCCAATTGTCTATCGGTACTACGCTGACAACTCCTGGACAGGTGTCTGTGCCATTCCGCTCTCTATCATCCCCAACCCAGACTCCGCCGGAGCAAGAGAAGACACCCGTAGCAGACCCAACGCCAACCCCTACACCAGCTGCTCCCGTGGAAGCCTCGCCCAAGCAAGCCACCCCTGCGGCACCCGCTAAAGCAGCCCCTGCTGCTACAACCCCCGCGGCTGACACTGCGACGTAAGACATGCAAGTCTGGATGATTTGGCTTGTTGGCTGATGAAGAATTGTTACAGATCAGCCAAAGATAACGAATCCTCCGAACCACGCGTGAAGGAATGGTGAGTGTTGGAGATGGATGACTCGAAGCCAATTGGTAAAGGCCATAGCTTACAATGTCGCTAGGGCTGAACGGTTAGGAGCATTCGGCGAGGAAAGCCGACTGCCGCGAAGTGTGCAAGCGATATACCTACGGCCGCTCCGGAGGAAGGCAGAACACGGTCTTCCTGTTTGCGATCTTCAATTGCGATCCTACAGTGTCCGCAATGTCGAGTTCTTCGCAGACTTCGCTATCCGTGCCGCTTACTACCTCAACCTCCCCGTGTCCGGACCTGTGCCTCTCCCTCGCATCGTCGAACGCTGGACTGTACCCCGAAGCAACTTTGTGCACAAGAAAAGCCAGGAGAACTTTGAAAGAATCACCCTTCGCCGACTGATACAGATCAAGGATGGAAACCCGCAAGCCGTGCAAGCCTGGCTTGCTTTCCTCCGGAAGCACGCTTTCTACGGTGTCGGTATGAAGGCAAATGTGTGGGAGAATGAGAGTCTTGGTATGTCACTCTTATTGTATTTCTCTAGTGATCGGGATACTAATCATCAATTCCACATCAGATGTTGCCAGGGATATGGATACCTCTCTTTCCGAGGTCGAAGAGTCTCTTCGTCCTCACCTCGCACAATTCGGCCAGCGGAAGGACAACTCGGCTCCGGGTACAATATTCGACACCCTGGACAGCGAGCGGTTTGCAGAGCGCAAGAACGTATAGATGGCAGGGTAATCTACAGCTCAATTCATATACCCGTGAACATCTAGACTCGATGCCTTTTGCTGCATGCTCTGTGTCTCCTTTTGATTCAAAAGCTCTGATATGGGCCACATGTACTTTATTGTTTTACTATCCTATTCGACCCCAGATGCATAATGGGAGTTCACATAGTTTACATATTTTGAAGATCTCCAAGTCTCACAACCTTGTCTCCGTGAGACCTAGCCTTATCTAACTTGGAATACTGATGTAAATGGAAATATTGCGAGATATGCAACCATAAAAAAATAAAAAGCAACTGGCAGTCTTAAGTGTAAACGAGGTAATGTATGATATCAATCACGTGACGTATCGTGTTTTTTCCAGGACCATCGGGGGCTACTGAATTGCGAAATATTGCACTTGGGAATTCCAATTCACATCTGTTCATATTTTGAAGATGTGTGCCAATGCAATTCGCCATGGATTTACCTCATCTAGGTCCCTAGGTGGGAAACATACTCATGTCCCAAGCGGGCTCTCCCTTCTCCCAAGGAGATGTCACCGATGGAACAGCTCAAGCCCCAAATCCCCAGCCAAGGAGCCCGTTATATTTTCTGGAATCCAGCCAACTGGAGTTCCGCACCTGGGAAATTACCTTGGAGCCCTCAATGAATGGGTGAAACTTCAGCAAAACGCAACCGAAGGAACCAGGCTGTTTTTCTCTATTGTTGACCTCCATGCATTGACGGTGCCGCAAGACGCAGCCGAATTGAAGAAATGGAGAAAAGAGGCATTTGCAACATTACTTGCCGTGGGGCTGGACCCTAAGCGCTCTACGATATTCTACCAGTCTGCCGTAAGTTGTCAAGAGCCAGCCGATCAGAAGTTACATTGACTAGTAACAGGTACCAGCTCACACAGAATTAATGTGGATTCTAAGCACAGTGGCTTCTATGGGGTATCTGTCGCGTATGACACAGTGGAAGGTAATTCATCATGCTTTTATACACTCTGGCCATTGATTGACGTCTTCCAGACCAAACTACAGCTGCCAGAAGATGCCACGCTTGATGACCAGACAGCACGAGCACAGCTGCGACTTGGACTTTTCTCGTATCCGGTGCTCCAGGCTGCGGATATTCTTATACACAGGTAGGCCACTCATTTGTCATTGTCCATTCTCTGCTAATGACCACCAGAGCGACTCATGTCCCTGTCGGGGAAGACCAGAGACAGCACCTGGAATTCTCCAGATATACTGCTAACAGTTTCAACCACCTTTATGGCCCCATATTCCCTATCCCAGAGGCATTGATATGTAAGAAAATAACCTTCGCGCGAGTATGAACACGCAACTAACTAAACCAGCCCCTGCCAAACGGGTGATGTCCCTTAAGGAACCGACATCCAAGATGTCCAAATCACACGCTGACGAGCGATCCCGAATCATTCTCACCGATTCCCCAGATGTCATCCGCAAGAAGGTCAAGGTTGCCCTGACGGATTCGGAACCGTCTATCACATATGAACCTGCCCGTCGGCCCGGAGTATCCAACTTGATTGAAATCCTCAGCCACTTTGAGGGTGTATCATGCGAGGATATTGCCACTGAATATCACAGCGCCAGCCTCCGATCGCTCAAGGAGCATGTTGGTGACCGAATTGCCTTCCATCTTCAGGAGATTCGAGAGCGATACGTTGGGCTCATGGACGACAAGACCGGCTACCTGGAATCTGTCGCAGAGGATGGAGCCGAAGCCGCGCGTGCCAACGCCCGGGTGACCATGAGGCAAATCCGTGATGCGATGGGCCTGTAGGCTATAACATATGTATAATAGTATACAATAACATAGTTGCCTTACGAAGTACCTGTGCCGACAGCCCCAAAAGTGGTTCGGACATAAAGAGTGGCGTTGCGAAGCCGAACGAGGCTGGGGCAGTGGAGCGTCATCCATCCGCGTCATCCTTTTCGTGTTCCCCACTTGCATGCGACTTTTTTTTTTAACTTTCTTAATTATTATTTAGAGATATACAGAGTATTCAGAGTATTCTGTAGATTGAGTGGGGTTCCAAAGACAAGAGATCATGAACCTGTGTATAGTGTACAGTGTAGCGTGTAGCGTGTAGTATATACATTAGTCTGTATCAAGCGTCAGATCTATAGTCAACTCGGATCTCGCGGGTACGAGGTCACATCGTAGACTAGTGACGACAACGCCTTACCCGTTATAGGAAACGTGTACATAAAATCGCATGCTCTGGTCCACTCTTGGTGAATCCGTGAATCCCATCGGATATCATTTCTTTCCTTTCCTTTTCTTCCTCGAATTCATCTTTGGAGATCTTCACACCTTCAGATCTCTCACATTCTTGGATCGACAATGAAGCACACATGGATCTTATTGGCCAGCCTTATGCCAGCCTGGGGCTTGACGCTGTACCAGCGCGACAATCCTGCTGTGGTGCAAATGGACATTCAGCGTAAAGATGTTGTTGATCCAGTCACCAGGGATCGGAGGAGAAAGCGTTCTTCAACTGTCACTCAATCTTTAGATAATGAGGTATGACATGTGCGAACATCTCAATATCTCACCGCTAATGTGTCTGCCCAGGAAACGTTATACTATTGTAATATCACTCTGGGTACTCCCGAACAGAGCTTGCGTCTCGTCATCGACACGGGAAGCAGTGATCTATGGTGCAATACCCCAAATTCGACCCTTTGCGAGTCCTCTGCCGATGCCTGCCGCTCATCTGGCACTTACGACTCGAGTTCATCTTCTTCATATTCCTTCGTGTCGTCAGACTTCAACATTAGCTATGCCGATGGGTCCGGAGCCGCCGGTGACTATGTGAGCGATACCCTCACTATCGGACAAACCACTATCAAGGACTTCCAGTTTGGTGTTGGTTTTTCCTCCGGCTCTTCACGTGAGTGATATTCTGTCGAAGTTCAGTGGTCACACGGCTAATCAGTTTGTTCAGAGGGTGTACTAGGCATTGGGTATGCTTCAAATGAAGTGCAGGTTGGCACTAACGGGGTCTCGGCTTATGCCAACCTTCCCAAAGCAATGGTCCAGAATGGTGTGATCAAATCCAGTGCATACAGTCTCTGGCTGAATGATCTGGATGCGAGCACAGGCTCCATTCTGTTCGGCGGAGTCAACACCGCGAAATTCCACGGCACGCTACAGACCCTGCCCATTGAGAAGGTCGGTGGACAGTACTCTGAATTTATCATTGCCCTCACTGGACTTGGCCTCCAGAACTCGTCGGGTCATCACGCCTACTCCTCGAGTGCACTCCCTGCAGGCGTGCTCCTGGATTCAGGAAGCTCCCTCACATATCTCCCAGACGCCCTTGTTGAGGATATCTATAGCGACTTGCAGGTTACTTACGAGTCCTCCAGTGGAATTGGCTATATTGAATGTAGTATGGCCTCGAGGGATGTCAATATCTCCTACACATTCTCGTCCCCAACGATTACCGTGGGACTTAACGAGTTGATTATTGACGTGGGTGATCTCTTCTTCCGCAACGGCCAGCGAGCATGTGTCTTTGGTATTGTTCCTGCAGGAAGCAGTACCTCGGTTTTGGGAGACACTTTCCTGCGGAGTGCCTACGTGGTGTACGACTTGGCTAACAACGAGATCTCTCTTGCCAACACTAACTTCAACTCCACCGAGAATAACGTCTTGGAAATCGGAACTGGCACAGATTCGGTTCCTAGTGCTACCGCAGTTGCGAATGCAGTGACTACCGCGCCTATCGGTGGTTCAGGGGCTCGCATTGGAGGTCCAGATGGAGGATCAGGCATCTTCACCACAATCTCTGAGACTGGCAATTGGGCTGTGCCAAAGGCGACCGCTATGCCAAAGCATCTGGCTTTTGGAATTGCCGGCGCTGGAGCTCTGCTGGCCCTGTAAAAGATCTGCTTATGGACCCATTTGTTTAGATGTTTGATTTTGTTGCATTTTGTGGTGTATTTGGAGTCCGACTGGCTATACCTGGATTTATTTCTTGTTTATCCCATTAGTATGTGTTATGAAATGAAGACTATTTAAAAAGTATCCAATCCAAAGGACATCTGGGCATGTGGCAGATAGTTGACGTGATGCAGTCACTTTATACTTCGGGTGACCCGCATCTCTTGGCACAAAAGCTGATTTGACACCTGTGGTCAGCTCGATCTATCCCCAGTTTCCAAAATGCCTCGTATACCGTTTTCTATGATATTAAAGGCTCACCAAGAGAACCACCTGCTTCCTCTACTTCTCAAAGAATGTCGTACTATCGATTCTGCTCGCAATGAGCTTCGCTGGTTACGCGAACAGGCAGTTCGCGATAGCAAGTCGCTTTCAAGATCCAGGTCCGGATGGAGGACTCGATTAAGATCTATGTGTCAACTGCGATCCAGAGGATATCCTCTGCAATATATCCTGGGAGACCAACCTTTTGGTGATCTGGAAATCCTCTGCAAAAAGGGTGTCTTGATTCCCAGGTATGTCCACATTTCTCAAACAGCGATACTTATCACTAACTTCGCTAGGCCAGAGACTGAATCATATACATACCAGGCGGCCAAGTTAGTCCGCCAGATGGCCCTGGATTCTAGTGACAAGTCAAGACCACCTAGCAACGCCAGACCCCTGCGTGTAATTGATCTTTGCACAGGCACAGGGTGCATACCACTTCTGCTGCACGCATTACTTGCACCTCATTTCCAAAAACTGTCAATTACAGGGATAGACATCAGCCCCTTAGCATTGAGTCTGGCGCAGAAGAACCTCGAGCATAACCTGCAACTGGGTCAATTGACATCCCGCGCATCAACGGATATCCATTTCCACCGCGGCAATGTCCTGGGGAATGGCAGTGATGACTCAATACTATCGATCGACTCAATCCTCCAACCCTATTACCTGGAATCGGGTTCCTCACTTGCAGATCAAACTGGCGGCTGCGATCTCTTAATATCCAACCCACCTTACATATCCCAGAGTGAATTCGGAAACGGGACCACTGCACGCAGTGTAAGGCTCTTTGAGCCCAAGATGGCACTTGTGCCTCCATCATTGGTCACTGGAGATGAACACGGCAGGCCTGAGGACATTTTCTATCACCGTATTCTCGCTCTGGCGCTCAAGTTGAGGGCTAAGATTACCGTCCTGGAGTGTGGGGATATCGTCCAAGCCAAGCGGGTTGTTGCTCTTTCTGAAACACTTGCCTCTATGGAGTCGGGTCAATTCAGTGCAGAAGTCTGGCCAAGTTGTGAGCGTGACTTGCTTGAGAATGGGTTCCATGCCACTGATGGCTCGCGGGGTGTGATTATTCGGAGATTGCCTTAGGGTTCTCTGGGCTTGTTACATAGCTATGCACTATAATATGTTCCAAAGACCGAGTCGATGTATTTAGTTGCATGTCTTGTTTCATAGTTCACATATAGTATACATTGACACCCTGCCATGGCCACATGAATCCGCCACACGGAGGAAATCACAAATCAAGCTCTTAACAAAATGCATTCTGACCGCCATGATGGTAATGTAAAAAGTTATGTACAGAATGGGGAGGACCACCAGCAGGCCACGGTGCTGGGGGTCACGTTTGGGAGTATTAAAACAGATAGGGGTGCAGGGGTAATTAACGTATTTGAATCATCAAGGGTAGCAAGGAATAACACCAGGGATCTAGAGTGAGATCCAAAAGGAGACCCAAAATAGGAGGTCAAACGACCAGTCCGTCTATTGGTGAATTTCGAATGCAGCTTAGAACCGCTAAGCATTTGCAAGACCTGCAAGTCGGGAAGAGAGGAAAGTGTTTTCATCGTTTCAAAGGTTCTTCTTCTTGTCGGACGAGTAACTGCGATCGTCTTCTCCCTCGACATCCTTGAGAATAGTCTCCATCTCCTTGGCTTGACGCTGCCACTCCTTGTCACCCATTTTGGTCTCGCGACGGAAAAGCTCCTCGTTGGGCTTGCGGTAGCTGCCACCCAGACGGTCCCAGAAGGTAGTGAACTGGCCGTAGTTGTAATTGAAGTACAGGTGGTGCATGGTGTGGCAGGCAGCACCGTTCACGATGGGACTGTTGGCAACGTACTCGCCGTCGTGAATGAAGACAGTCCAAAGATTGATGAATCCGAACAGGAAGACGTAGGCCATCTTCTGCAGGGGGAAGAGGAAGGGGAAGACGTGGTAGGGCACACTCTGGGACCAGCCGTCGAGCGGGTGGAAAGCGTGAGAGGCGTAGGGACTGGGCATGATCCACTTGTGGTGAGGCTTGTGGAGTGTCTTGTAGACGCGGGGGTGGTGCAGGCCGCGGTGGATCCAGTAGATAAAGAAATCGGTGAAGCAGATGAAGAAGGGGAATTGAATAAGGCTGTAGAATGGGAAAGGCTCTTCAGCGGCGGTGTCGTAGAGTTTGGCATATCCGCGGACCTCAAGAACAAAGAATGGGGCTGTCAACAGAGCCATTGGGGGCATGGCACCCATGGCCTGCTTAATTTCCAACCGAATCTGGTTCTTGAGGAATTTGGGGTGATTGTAGGTTGTCTTATCCCAGATGAAGACGTACGATAGCGAGGCAACCACGAAGTAGACCAAAAGTCCAAAAATCCTGTTTCAATTCTGTCAGCTTTGTCGCGGAAAGGTGGCAATTGGGAGAGTCTGGCGCATACCAAGTAATCAGGAAGAAACTGGTGAATTGGCGGTACATGTTGTTTCTAGGCCAGACACTCAAGTAGGCGTACTTAGAGGGTTCCAAGTAAATCATCTGGGTCGCCTGTTCGTAGACAAAAGGTTCCGCGGCGCCAAACAGGGCCAGGGAACTGTTGGCCGCATTGACGAAAGCCGGGAAAGAAACAGTTGACGAGAGCGACGCGGGGAGAAGCGAGGAATAGAGGCGATCACCAATGAAGGTGTCCCATATTTCGAGAATGATATCCATGATGGGCAATTTCACGGATACGTGGGAGAGAGTGAGTTGGTGGGAGGGATGTACTTGGAACAAAAAAAGGAGACACGGCGAATAATAAATTGCTCCGGCCAGTCAAGTCACACCAGCACGGAACCGCCACAGCCGTTGATGCTCCCTTAATCAGCCAGGGGTATACAGATGGCCTGACTTTGTAAATGAGGACGATTGGCTTGATTATAGTAATATTTCTCTCTAATCTCTTCTAATCACATCATGCCATACAATTCTGTGTTCTGCATACACCCTTGCCACCAAGGCCATGGTGCTTTGGTGCCTGAGACAGTTGTTGCCGCCTGATATTTCAGGCGAGAATAGTTCTGGAGCTCCAAGTAGTTGGAAGTATCTCTCGGCGGTGAGACTGGTGACGGATACCTGGAGGTACACGGCATCTTCGGTACCACTTTTGGCCGTACTCAGAGGTACCTCCACTGCCCGCACTGGCGTAGATCCAAGTATCCATCCATCTCAACATACTTATTGCCAATATGTAAAGATATATAGGTATAGATATAGATATAGATATTTAAATTATATATTTGTATTTATAGATATATCTATTCAGTACTTAATGATCAACATTGAAATATAGAAAAAGTCAAAGTCTGATCATAAATTAATCATCAATTGCAAACGGAGCGCTTCTCGCTTCTGGCGTTAATCGCTTGCCGCCTCCAACCTTCCCGCAACTGTCACCAGCCTCTTCCCCCTCTTACCGCTACCACCTCAATTTCCCATCTCTATCATTTCGCTTACTATCGCTGTGGCTAGCTGCGCGGTGAATTCCACCAAGCAGCATTGACGCCTCAGTGATCGATTTGGATCTCTGGAATCCCTGTCGGCATTCAAAGCTTCCATCTAAATATCTTGTCTCTGTCGCTGCTTCTATAGGAATCGATCCCTCAGCGCAATGTACAACACTCATCGCGGGATGGTGCCCGCTCCCAACTCTCGTCTGACGGAGTTGCTGGATCAGCTGCGTCAGGAGTTTGAGAGCCAGTCGCGCAGCACCGGCGAATTCGAGCACCAGTGTATGTCCCTTCCTCTGCCTCCTTCAAACGGTTATCCTCTGGTACTCCCCGGGCCTCGTGCGCCTGGGAGCTCCTAATGTCCAACCATTTCGTTCAAACAGCTGCCAGCTATCTTTCGATGACTGCCGCGCCATGGGTTGCAACATTCGCTGAAATGTTATCTAACTGACAGATCACGCAGTGACCGGACAGCTCCAAGAGATGGAGATGATCCGTCAAAAGGTTTTCCAATTGGAACAAGCTCAGGTCAAGATCAAGCAGGAGTTCGTTTTGCCCCCGGCCATCGAAATATTCTATCGCTGACTCCCTGCTTGCTTTAGCTACGAGACCGAAATCCGAATGTTACGACACGAACTCGAGTCGCGCGGCGTCCAAACCATCCCCTCTCACATCGGTGGTCCCGCCGCAGCCCATACAGCTCCTTCTCAGGCTCCCCCGCCTGCATTGGGTCACGGCCCCAGCAATCTGTTTGGTGGTATCATGACCAACCCGCCAGGTAGTGGCCCCGGCCTTGCCCCTCCCCCTCCCCAGGATCAGCAGCCTCCCCAGCATGCCCTTCAACAACCTGCTTCGGCTGCCCAGCCCGGTGCGCCGCAACCCCCGCAGAGTTCTTTTGGAGGATATCAGGCTGGCGCTGCTGTGAACGGTATGTCGTTAAAGGCAAAGGGATTGTCGCCGAGTCGCTAATCCGCTTTATTTCTCTTTCCCAGGCTATGGACCTCCTCCCCCGACTGCATCTCCCGGCCCCGGTAAGGGCCGTGGGCGTGTGCCCCCGGGCCCGGCCACCCCCCAGCAACAGCACGTTGCCTACCCGGATCCGCGTGCGTCGCCTCAGATCCCTCGCCCAACTCCCCCGAACCAGACCTCTCTCCCCCGCGAGCGCCCGGGAAACATGCTGGCCAACTGGAACCCGGATGAGTTGC